TTCTTTTTTTTTTATGTCATTACAGCAGGGAATCGTAAAAAAATGCAGAAAAAGTTCTTGTTTCTTCACTTTCCATGGTTCAAAAAAAGTCAAAACAGCCTTACTAGATAATAAACTAAAAGCAGTGAGTTAGATGTGAAATCATAATGATCACCTAGAAATAGTTTGGAAGATTCATGCAAGACCTTAGATCCAGTAGATTTTTCATAGGTTACGATGCATGTGGGTTGTCAAAGAAAGGATGAAGACAGAGTAAAAACCTATACATTGTGCCATTGCAATAGGTTAAAAAATTGCTCTAATCAGTGGATTACAAACCTGATTGCATGCATTAGTTTAAAAAAAACAAATAAAAACATTTAATTTAAATGATCACAATTGTTAAAAAAAATAACTGTTCTACTGATTTAACTACATAAGTCACCATTAAGGACTTTTGTACATAACTAGTTTGAAAAGTTTTTTAACAGATTGCGATAATTTGGAATACTGGTCCAAACAAATTAAATCAAGGCCTATGATAATTATAGTCTAAAGGTTATTCAGCATGAACTAGGGAATAGTTATACAGTGTGAGGTTGTTTATTCGTGCAATATTTAGAATTTTGGTAAATTAATTTAATTAAACCACGTTAAAGGGACACTAAAGCATTAGGAATACAAAGGTACGTGAACAGGAGGATGACTGTAGCCCCATGGAACTTGAGCAGCATAAGTGGAATAGGGCCTTGACAGGGGTTGGAGGCGGCTTAGGGGGAGAGCTAGGGGTGTGTTTTCGAAGTTTGATTGGGGGAGCGGCCTAATATAAATAGGCCGGCCATTTTAGCTCCTGTCACCATTGACTTCCCTACCAGTTCGAGTTGGTTCCTCCCTTCCTCCCTTGGGTTGAGTTCTCTTTGTCCCTGCTTTGTCATAGCGGCAGGGTTAGTTAGGGAGGATTTACAGGAATAAATAGTCACGGGGGGGAGGGGTTAACCACAGAGGAATTAAGGACGTTTTGGCCGAATGGTTCAGTTGGTTGGTTATAATGTTGGTGTTAAGTTAGGGGTTCGAGCCCGGCAGTGGCTCGGAGCCTTGGCGGGGTAGGGGTGTCTGGGTATATCCCTACCAGGAGGCAATACATGTTATGGAATTTGGATGGGGTGGGGGTATCTGGGTATACCCTTACCAGGAGGCAATACATTTGTATGGAACTTGGATGTGGTAGGGGTATGCGGGTATACCCTTACCAGGAGGCGTTAAGTTGTGTAAAATATGATTGGTGTATATATATCTATGTCAAATTGTATATGTATGTATTTATGGTTGTTATATTGTAACAAGAATATTACATATGGGTCATTGCCTTATTATTACTGATGAGGTAAGGGATATGTATGTTGACGTATGGATAGGTGGGGGCGGGGCAATGACTTTTAAATGTTTGATATATGCACAATAAAAGCTGTGGACATATTGACCTATAACCCTGAGTAGTTGGAATTCTTTGGGAAACTTGGTAAGGGGGTGGTGGTGGTTATGGGTTTTATCTATCTCCTCCTGCCGAGATGTCGACAATACACCTGTCATGCAACTATAAACCTGTGTGTACCTGTGTCAGTGTGTGTATCTGAAAAATCAATTGGGAACATTTCTGTATTCCTTACACTATGGGATATCTTTAATTAAACGTGTGTCAGCTGAGATATTAACTTTTTTCTAAGCAAAAATATTATACAATAAACATAAATTCAGAAAAGGAAAAGGCCCATTGTTCCACAATTCCATATGCAAACAATGAACAGCTTTAAATTTAAGTTAATTAAAATTGAGATAATTCACCTTGCAATAATTTCAACATTATCTATGTATTTCTAATGGTATACAACAAAAAAAGTTATTGTTCTAAATACAAAATCTTTAACTGGATGCAGGTATTACAGAATGAGTTTTCAGATTTAAAAATCATGATTTAAACAAATCACTCTGGTATTATTTTTTCTTATTATCTGTGCAAGCTATAAGTAAATAAAAATTGAGAATAGAAAATATAAATTGAACTTTGTAAGTATAGAGTTTTGAGAGATAATAAGGATGTTCTGTAAACAGCAGTGATCAATCAGGGTATAAGATATTTACACAAGAGGAAATTCACATGTCTTTTCCATAAGCATTTACTAAAACAGGAACAAGAGAGGAGGCAATAACTGGTATTTTGTGGATTTTAATTAGCATATACTGTGGGATCAAGTAAAATATTGTAGAAAAGGTTGTAAAGTGTCAATCAGATAGCGGAAATGGGAAAACCATAATGTCTAGAGAGCAGTTGTATCTGTATACAAAATTCAGACCACTTGTAAATTAAGGAGAAATCAGTTGTAAAGCTCTACTTCTGGACATATTGTGCTAAACTTTAAATTAACAGACACAGCAGTATAATGTGATAAACAAATGTGCATGTATTTTTTTTTATTATTATTATTATTAATAAAGGGACACTGTAGGCACCCAGACCACTTCAGCTAATTGAAGCATTTGGCACCCGGGGCGGATCCTGTACTTGCCATCCAAAAAAAAAAAAAACCTGTAAAAAAAAATGTTAAAGGTTTTCTTTCTTTTTTTTTTTACAATTTGTAAACTTTGCAAAACCGCTGTCAGCCCCTCCTACAAAACCCTTGTCCTGCCCCGCCCCTCCTACAAAACTTCTGTCCTGCCCCTTCTACAAATCCTGTACTGCCCCGTCTACAAAACCCCCGCAACCCCCTTCCACAAATCCCCTGCTTATCCCCCCTTATAAAGACTCCCGTCCCAATACAAAATCCCCGCCCCCTTCTACAAAATCCCTGCAGCCCCACACACACATTTAGAGGCAGACAGTCACACACTCAGTTACAGACAAACAGTCACACACTCAGTTACAGGCAGACAGTCAAACACAGTCACAGGCAGACAGTCACACATACACATTTCCTCCGTGCGGCCAGTTTATCAGTTGTTTGCTTGTGTGAGCTGTACTGGCCGCACGGCACCCTAACTACCATGGGACATTTCTCTTTCTCCCCCCTCCTAATTTCTCTTTCTCACCCAGCCTTCTTTCACTTTCTCACCCCCCCTTCTTTTCCCCCCCTTCTTTTCCCCCCCTTCTTTCTCTTTCTCACCCCCTTCTTTCTCTTTCTCACCCCCTTCTTTCTCTTTTCTCCCCCCTTCTTTCCCCCCCTTCTTTTCTCACCCCCCCTTCTTTCTCACCCCCCTTCTTTCTCTTTCTCACCCCCCCTTCTTTCTCTTTCTCACCCCCCCTTCTTTCTCTTTCTCACCCCTCCCTCCTAATTTCTCTTTCTCCCCTCCCCCCTAGCTCCCTGTAGCGTGGCTGAGCCCTGTATAGTCCACGTGTACAGGGGCTGTTATCAGGACTACAGGAAGTGCACACTTCCTCAGTGTGCACTTCCTGTTAGTCCGGCCGGGTACAGGAGACAGCTGCTCCCTGTACCCGTCGGACCATCATGCTGCAGGGCTCGGCCACGCTACCTCCTGTCAGCCCCTCTCCTCAGGCTGCGCCCGGGCGGTGCGCTCCGCCCTCATGGACGCACCGCCCGGGCAAAGCTGCAGCCGCCTGAGGCTCTCTACAGAGCGCTCGGGCGGCTGCAGCATGGGGGGGGGGCGGCGGGGCTGGTCATGGCACCCCCCACCCTGGTGGCACCCGGGGCGGACCGCCCCCTCCGCCCCCCCCTTAGTACACCACTGGGTCTGGGTGCTGTGTCCCTATTGCACTTAGTGAACTGCAATGTTTACAGCCACTGGGTGCACTTCCGGAATCAAAACGGACCTTTGGTCCATTATCTGACACTGGACGTCCTCACACTCTGCATGAGGACCTCCAGCATCAGATTGTCCCTTACTGGAAAACATTGATTAATGCTTTCCTATGGGGAAATCCAATAGGGAGCGCGGCCATTGCCACGCATGTGCATTAGGTTTCCCCCGCCAGCTGACATCTGTGAGGGAGGTACTTGGGCGGAGCCTGACCCAGCGCCGAGATACATCGGTGCTGGATTCAGGTAAGTGGCTGAAGGTGTTTTAGGGGGTGGGGGGTGCGAGGGAGGGGGGCTCCTTAGAAACCTATAGTGCCAGGAAAACGGCTTTGTTTTCCTGGCACTATAGGAAAAGGTCTGAAATAGTCTGAAATAGACTTTAAGTGGGGTTAAAACAAATATAATTCTCTAATGTTTGTGCGTGAGTCTTGTGTATTAAGAGTTAAAGAGTTTAATTCAATCTCCAAGACCCATAATCCTTGGAGAGGTGGAGAATAGTCATAACAGTTGATGTAGGTGCGTGATCTGACCAATTGTTGACCCCTATCTTTGCTTCTGAAAAGGTTCATAGTGATGGTGCTGAAAGGCAAAGGTCAACCCTTAAATATTTGTATATATTTTATCAAGGATCAAGTATTCAGAGTTAAAAAACAAAGTAGGTTCCTGAAGTGTTACCCTATAAAGATATTCTTGGATGGTGAGCCATGTCCCTAGTATCTTGTAAAAGGTCAGGGAGGCAAACTTTCTGTGTCTTTTGAAACCTTTGGAAGATTTTTCTACAAAGGGTATTTGTGTATTATTTGGGGTATACAGTGAAGCAACAGTTTCCTGTTCAGTCATAAGTAATCCTTCTAATATCAAGAGGTGATCATCTATGTCAAGAAATTTGTCATTCAGTAATCACAATGCAACAGTATCAAAGTTTCCTTGGTCTTTGAGGATATGACATACTTGATAATAGGTTAGTGGGGGGCATAGAACTTAGACACAGATGATAGCAGCCAGATGAGACTTCCTCCAAAAGCACCATCTGTTCAGCCCTTCAGCATTGATGGAGTAGAGTACAAAAGAGGCTGCCTTTGGATTAAAAAGTAGGTGAAATGCTGGATCTAGGTTGATGTCGATTTCCTGTATATGAATTGTGCAAACAATGGAGCAGCAGTTGCAGCACCCAAAGAGCACCATGTCTCAGGAAGGGTGTGGAGTTCTTGCTTGGAGGTAGCGGGAATGGAGACTGGTAAAATACATAATTCCTTCCCTCATAGAGTAGTATTTGATTATTGACTATTGGCTATTTCAGCAAATGGAGGGAGGTAGGGAGAGTTGTGAATAAGGGGTAACAGAGACTTCCCTTGCTCACAGCGCTGCCTACAAATGTAGAAGCCCATTACATCTGTTTCCAGTTCACTGTGCACATAGGCAAAATACATATTTTTTTCAGAGTTGTAACATTAGTCACATGTAACTAGCTCCTGCACTACACTACAAATATATCTGTATACATCGCTTCAAGCAGGAACACTGCACATACAAACTCATACGAACTATTATTTAAAGCAGAAGTGGTCATGGCGGTTTGAGTAAACTTTCATGTGTAATAATTTAGTAGACGCTTTCACAAACCGAGACATGTTTAGGCTATCAAATCAGAGATCAGTCGTTGTGTATATAACCAATAAAAAAGCTAAATGGTTTTATTTAAAAAGTGTTTAGGGAAGAATACATTGTGATTACTCTAATTGTCATGTATATCCTAGATCAGGCATAGGCAACCTTCGGCACTCCAGATGTTTTGGACTACACCTCCCATGATGCTTTGCCCAGCATTATGGGTGTAAGAGAATTGTGGTGGAAGTAGTCCACAACATCTGGAGTGCCGAAGGTTGCTTATCCCTGTCCTAGATCATACAAGTATTACAATTACATATTTAAATGCTATTTTCCAACTGTTCAATTCATATGATTTGAAATATCCATTCATTACGTATGAGGTTCGACTCACATCAAGGAGAATTCATAACATAGCATTCTCAATGGGGATTTTTTCTTGAAAAGATGATAAATAATACTTAAAATGGAATTGTTGATTCTGACAGTGTAGTTTTCCTAGCCTCAGATTTTCAAAACTCCCAGCTGTGACTCAGAAATTCAAACTATCCAGATTTAAAAAAATCAGATTTCGCTATTGTAAAGACAAAAAGGTCCACTACCTGTAGCATATAGATATAGCTTCATGCTATCATGAAAAAAATAGGTGTTATTAAATGGGACAGTCTAAGCACCATGCAACCACATGCCATTTTTTGTCAAACTATTTATCATCAAAATGGTTCACCAATTTATCATCAGGGGTCACCAAAAGTAGATCTTTGCTGTGGAGTTACAAAGCCTTAATGCTGAAAAATGATCATGAGATTTTAGGTCTACAACAGCTGTATGTCTATCATTTGACCATGCGTGGTATAAATCAGATTTAGATGGCTAATTCAAGCTGAACTTGTCACCCTCGTGTGGATAACAGAGTCCCTTTAAACATAAACGCAAAGTAATAAAAGTTACAAAATCAATATTTGTGCTAGTATTGCATCACAAATTAAGGCAATTTGGCTGTTGTAAATACAAGAGTGGCATGTTTACTCTAATCCTTATACATATATTTAAAAGGTTAGGTCATTTTCCTGGTTATTTCATGCACTCGGTGCCCAGCTGTTTCTTGCAGTCAGTGCACCATTTATAACAAAAAAAAATATCACACGTCTGCACTTTAAACAACTTATTCATTCATTCAATGTCAGGCTAATGCCGCAGGATTTTCTTGAAACACATAAAATCTGATACTAATTTGGCTTCACTTCTCAAAAGCATATGATGCAACTGAGAATTCCCTATTTTCAAAAAACATAAATAAACAAATATATATATATATATATATATATATATTTTTTTTTTTATATATATATATATATATATATATATATATATATATATATATATATATATATATATATATATATATATATATATATATATATATATATATATATATATATTTAAAAGGTTAAAATTGACCTCTGCATATTTCTATTCTTAACTTCTCGGGAATTAATTCTTTAAGCTTATTGTAACTAGTGATACCAGGAACTCTTGTGTTCACAATCAACCCAAAGTGTTAGCTGTGAAAATGTGAGCATAGTTTATGGTAGAGATATTTGCAAGCTGTAATAATTTTTATTGGGAAGCATAACATTTTACCTATTCATATATGCGTTTGCAAATTAATTTCCAAGACCACACATGTGTATTTCCGTAGAGGGGTGCCATAAAATGTATGCTGATTATGCCATACATTTACTTACATTTGCTTTATTAGCTTAATAACTACCATGCTGAAGGCAACACTAATTACAAGAAATATCATAAACCACTGGATTCATATATCCTGTCAAGAACTCTTCTACTATAAGCGGCACATGACTTAGTTCAGTGGGTAAAAGGGCTACAAATCACCATTTATTTATACTTGACCCAGAATAATGCTAAAAAAATTCCTCTTAACAACAGCCTCACTTATATCTAGCATTGAAATCTATCACCACCAAGACAATTTATACATGGGGTGCCTTGTGGTACCCCACCAAATAAGATTAAAAAATAAACAAACACCATTTAGCAAAACATTTATAAAATCAGAAATCTCATGAAATAGGTCTGTTCGGGTAATGGGATTCTTATACCAGACAACAGAACCTAATAAAGGAACATTTGTCATAAACAAAAATAGTTACATACATAAACAAATAGATGAAGATAAAATGAAATATCCCAACTGATTACAATAAAAAGGAACTCGCTCAAATTTAGATTTGGGCCCTGATTAAGCACAATGGTTATTTCAATTTCATGAATTTTATACCCTATGTGCCCATCTTGAGTTTGCACCTGGCCCCAGATGAGGTTCAGAGTGGAGTGTAAGTGTGAATGTATGAATGAATGGTTGATGACACCGCCAGGGGCGGACTGAGAACTCGGGCAAATCGGTCATGGTCCGAGGGCCTGAGGCTCTTGGGGGCCCGCCCATGGTGCAAAGTGGTGGCTGAGATGGGGAGTTCAACAAGCCTTCCGCAGGCCCCCTGCTGATGAAAATATTCTTCCCCTTGCGTATCCATGTTGCTGAGGCTGCCCCAGCAGGGCACAATGATGGACAACTAAGGGGCCTTTCCAAAGACCCCCTAGGCTGCTTCTCAGTGTGCCTGTCTGTGTGTGGATGCAAAAAATCAGCAGAGGCGGAGCTGCCCGGATCTCTGTTATAGGCAGCATGCAGTAGCTTCTGTGCCCTGCGCCTCCCATGAAATAGCATGGTCAGGAACCACCAAGGATAATGATTGAGTCTTACCTTTGGCCAGGGAAGGGGGAGTAAATATTGTTGTTTTATCCTTTTTTTTCTGCATTAAAAATATTTACGTTTACGTGTTACGTTTCTAATCTCCCCCACTACTTCCCCATAGCAGCTCCTATCCGTCCACCCCCCTTATCAACCAAACTCCCATACCCTTACACAATTCCTATTATGCCCAGGCACCCGCTACAACCTGTGTACCAACTACAGCCCCTACTCTCCAGGCACCCACTTCAGCCCCTAACCTACTACAGCCCCTATAACCCCTGCACCCACTACAGGCCCTACACTCTCTAGATCTTCTATATCCCCTGTACCCACTACAGCTCCTACTCCCTGCACCCACTACACCACTACCGCCAGGTACCCTCTAGAGCCCCTATACCTCCAGCACCCACTATAGCCCCTACCCCCAGGTACCCTTTTAGGGTCCCCATACCCCCTGCACCAACTACAGCCCCTAGCCCCAGGCACCAACTACAGCCCCTACCCACAGACACCCACTACAGCCCCTACCCCCAGACGTCCGCTACAGCCTCTACCACCCAGGCACCCACTACAGCCCATACCCCCAGGCACCCACTACAGACCCTATCCCTAGGTACTCTCTAGAGCCCCTATAACCCCTGCACCCACTACAGCCCCTACCCCCAGGTACTCTCTAGAGCCCCTATAACACTGCACCCACTACAGCTCCTACCCACTACAGCCACTACCCCAGGTACCCTCTAGAACCCTGATACCCTGTGCACCCACTATAGCCCCTGCCCTCAGGTACCCTTTTAGAGCCCTATACCCCCTGCATCCATTATAGCCCCTACTCCCTGCACCAACTTCAGCCCAGACCCTCATGCACTCACTAGAAACTGTATTACCTCCCTGCCCCATCTACAGTTCTCTGCAGCCCCTATTACTCCTTGCACCCACTATAGCTTCCCCTGCACTCACTACAACCCCTATTATCCAATGCCCCCAGTACAGCCCCTGTGCCCCCTATACCCACTACAGCCTTTTCCCCACTGCCCCCACTTTATCCCCTATGTCCTCACTTTATCCCCTATCCCCCACCTCCACTACAATCCCTACCCCCACCCCTGCCTCCACTGCAGCCCCTAAACCCTTTCCTCCACTGCAGTCCCTCTCCCCTATGTCTCCAGTTGAGGAACTAGCATTGGTGCATCTGCACCGGGGCCTGCACGCTTTAGGGGAGCCTGCTCTGGTGCCAAGGCCCTTTAAGAGCCTGATCGGGCCCCTGTAATATCGTCCGGCTGGGAGGAAGCTGTCACTTCCTCCACGCTTTTTACTGAGAGTGCCACATGGGAGAGAGGATGCAGCTGCGGTGGCACCATAGGCAACAGTGGGGAGAGGAGCAACCAGAGAGCTGCTCCAGACTTCGCACTCCCATCAACCCCAGCCAGCAGCAGATCTCCAAGCAAGCCAACCTCCTAAACACTAATGGTATACATACAAGCAATCAAACACCAACACAACATGCAAATAAAACTTCTGCAATCTAACACAAATTTTACATGCAAACACACCTCTGCATCGAAACTCCAAAATTATATACAAATACACCCCTTCACTCAACCCCCAGCCTACACAAAAATGTACATTCACATTTAAAAGCCAGCATTACATTTAAACACACCCCTGCAATCAAATTCAAACATTACTTACAAACATTCCCCTGTGTTAATACTCTAAAATTATATACAAGCACCACTTCAATCAAACATCAACACTACACACAAACACACCTCTGCAATAAAACGCAAACACTACACACAAACACACCACTGCATTGCAGTGGCAACAGTACATACAAATACACCCCTACATGCACACATATACTTCATACAAAACATGCTTAGATTCAAACGCACAAACACTGCTCACAAATACAACCCTGCAAGGATGGGCAAATGGTAGGTCCCCAGCTGACACAGCAATGTAGGAGTTGTACAACAGATGGGAATCTACCTTTTGGCCACCCTTGCATTAGAGGTGGGCCCAAAAAAACATTGTTGCACC